GCATTGGTAGCGCCGACAGGGCAGGTGAACAATTGGACATGCGACGGTACTACACATATTTGTTGTGTGTGAGTGGCATGTAAATACGTGTAATGTGTGTTAATGGCGGCGACGGATAAGATAACAAAAATTATTACGCATATACACATATGCACAGGAAATCCAACGAAATGACGATAAGAAACTTGGGCATTAGAGGGCGCACAGTGGTCAACATAAATAAGGGTATGTTACAGTGTGGTGTTGCCAGCGAAGGTTTGATACTGAAGTAATGCTGCCGAAAAACGACGCGGCGTGCGAACTTACTGCTGAACTGACTTGCTATGCGGCGGTTGATGGCCAACAAAGGCGAAGAAGCAGAGCATAAATATTAAAAAGTCGTAAACAACAAAACAACAAACACAGGAAAGCATAATTATGAAGTCAGCCAGGACAAAACGTTTTTTCAAAAAAATCAACACAAGCAGCAAAGCCAGAGGCAAACGCGCAGAAGACAAAAGAGGCAGAAACAAGCAGAAGTCGAGATATGAAAAAAAAAACCAAGCAGCAGGCACAGCCAACATTCAAAAAAAACAAACTACTACTGCGCTTATTAAAACTCAACAAACAGCGACCACAGCCGCTGCCACCAGGAAGGCGGAGCGGGCGCGGCGCGGCTGAGAAAAAATGGTGCACGCTCGTACAGCAGCCGCAAACCGTGTATGAAAAATAATAATCGAAATAAAAAGCATGGCGAAACGTAAAAAGCCAGCGAAAAAGTTATCGAAAGAGCAAAATGTAAAAGCGCGTGAGGGCAAACAGCGGTGCCGCTGTTGGGGGAGTGTGTGCGCACTGATGTCGACATCAACAGCAGAGGCAAATAAACAGCGCCAGAGGCTAAAGGGGTTGGAAGGCGCTTACATGTTGGCAAAACGCTGCGCGCAACGCCAACAGCGCGGCACCGGACCGCAATTGCAATGTGTGCTTTAACGGACGTTGTGTTGGTTTGCGAGTGGCCTGTCACTACTGGCGCAACGCGAGTGCGATCGCCGTCACCGTCACAGGGCCAACGAACATTTTTCACATTGGGAAATAAAACATCCACAAGCACACGCACTACATAGCATGTAGATATTGCAAACGTACCAGCAGCGCGGACGACAAACACAAAACGTTATGCACGCGCTAGCTGGCAAACTCTGCGGTTGGTTATGGGCGCTTTACGCTCGTTAACGGACGCATACACAGTACCACACATGCTTCACGCGCGTGCTGTGTTAGAAAAGGTTAGACCAGGCTGTCGCGCGTATGTGCATGTGAGCGCTCGAGATCTGTGAGAGGCACACAGCCAAGGTAAAAACTCAAATCGCAAGTGCAACAACAAACCAGCGCGGCGATGTACGCTCTCACAATATTTTAATTTTTAATTTTTGGTATTGCTTGTCTTTTCGCTGACGCTTTCACAAAAGGCGCGTCAGCGTGCGGGAAAAGTGCTTAGGGAGCGCGCGTTAGCGGCTGTGACGCGCTAGCAGAAAAGCCAAACGCTACATTCAAGTGCGCTCACACAGAGTTATGCGCATATAAATTTATTTATATATAGCCTATATGTGTGTATGTGCTATGAACATGAAAATGAAGCGAGCGCTGCCGAGACGCGCAAACGAGTTGAACAGCACACCCCCATAACAGTCTACGGTATAAACATACTACCTTTCGTACCTTGATGTAGGCATGCCAGCCGTCGGCGGCGTGCGTAGCGCTGAAGGCAAACGAAAGCAAACCAAAACCGACACGTTACGTACGAGCAAACGAACGTTTTGGATAGCGCAACGAACGGCCAGCCAGCAGTACTACGGCCAAGCGATTCATTTAGCAGAAGCAGTTTTTAGTTTCGAGTTTTGTGCTGTCGCTGTTAGTTTTCGGCCGCAAATTGAAGTTTATTTCCCGACTACTGCTTTAAACATTAGGCATAGCTGTAATGTGTAGATGTTTGTGCATATCCGAGCTGTCTGCTTTGGTGCAAGTAATCAGTAGCAATCATAAATGTTTATCTGCCTAATAACGTCAATTTGGGAGTCATAAAGAGTTTTTGCGACAAGCAGCAATAAATATTTTTTATGCCTAATATTTATATTTGTTCTACGTAAGTTTATATTTATGAGAAAAGTAGAAAATTCTGGCAAATAAATTAAAATTTTGTTGTATGAATTACACGAAAATTGTTTACTGTTCGAAGATGACAGCAATTCGCCGATGGAAATAATTTTGTGTGGAATATGGTTTAGGCGCCGACGTAAATTTATATTGATAAGTAATTATATATGTATTATGTACATATGTCAATTGAATATAGTAAAAAACAAAAAAAACTAAACGTTAGATAAAAGTTCTCACAAGAATTGATTTGATCGTCCAGTTTTATGGCAGCTATATCCTGTAGAGTCCGATTGAACAATTTTTTTTGAGATTATACATTACCTTAGGAACAATCCATATCACATGCCGTGATATATTTTGTCAACGAAAGAGTTTTCATATAGGACTTGATTTTCATCGTTCAGTTTGTATGCACAGATATACGCTTTAGTGGTCAATATTTTTTTGGAATTATGCAATAATAAATTTCGTGAATATATCTTTTTAAACGAAAAGGTTTTCCATCCAATTCAAACAAACTCTTGTATTTTAAGTTTGTATGTCAGCTAATATCTCAAAAACCAAGGGACTAGTTCGCGTATATGCATCAGACAAAAGGACAGAGGTATGCCTACATCGACTCGGTTCTTCACGCTGATCATTTATACATATACTTTGTAGAGTCTTCGATGCTGCTTTCTGGGTGTTACAAATTTCATGAGAACTGAACGGGGTATATGTTTAAGGTATAAAAATTACCCAAATATGTTTTCTTTCATTCTAAATATCCAAAAAACTTTCGTTAGAACTAAGTTTATTGATCGAAAATTTACTTTATTTAATTTTACCAGCAGAAAAACTTAAGAAGCTATTCAGGTTTATAATTACTCTTCTACTACTTTTTAATTGGTTAAATTAAACTGCAGACTAAAGCAGTACTAAATAAATACTTAAATGAATAAATTATTATTACCAAAGAATCAAGCACTAGCCTCATATACAACGACGCAATATGCTCCTTACTGAACAATCGAGATAATTTCAGCAATTTAGCTCATAATTGTCTTCTTGTTTTCAATTTATCTTATAATTAAACAATTAACTAATGGTTCAATTAATGTTTAATTGCCAAAAAATTAATAGCAAAGTCAACATGAATGTGTAAGGATTTCAGTGAAAGAAAGAAAGTGTTATATAGTCAAAAGAAAGGAAATCACAGAAACCCAATATATTTCCATTAGTAAATTTAAATCTTAATTGCCTAGCTAATTGAGCACATGAATGAGAATATGGTTGTACCAACTTACGAAATAAATTGAAAGGAAAAAAATAGTCAAGGGTAATAGTTTGCCAAAATTGGAACGAAAATTAATTCATTAATTAATTCTTTTTTATTTTGATATGAAAAATGCTTTATAATTAGCCCTTTTAACTGTTTTAGACTACGGTTATATGCAAAAAAATTTTTCAAAAATTATAATTATTCTAAATACATTCCATAGTTACAAAATAATCAGGTACTAGTCTCACAATAGATCCGAAACTACTTTATATAAAGCTTAAGTACTCTCCTAATTGAGAAAATAAGACAATTAAGTTTCTAATTGTTATAAATTAACCTTAGATGGAAAGAATTATCTAATTACCTAATTAGTATTAATTGGCATTATATATATATTAAAGTCATCATATCTTTGAAGTGTGTAAAACAAGAGGAGGAAAGCGTTTTGTAGCCATCAAAAGAAATAAAAGAAATTTAAAATACTTGGTTAAGTTAATTGTCATCTTAATTGCCTAGCTAATTGAGTTTTCTGAGCATGAGCTGATAATAGCTTCATTTATTCTTTTAAATATTAGAAGCGTCTTAACTGGCTAGTATGTTCACCAAATCATACAACAAATATTGCATTAATACTTTTTATGGAGTTAAGGGAGAGGTTTGGAGACAATTGTTGCTTAATTGAAAAAGTAAGACACTGTCAGTCTTTTGTCATTCTTAAAAATGTCAAAATAAACTCATACTTTCTTTAGTGACACGTCTTTCACGTGAAATCAAAAAAAAATATAAATAAGCTATAAATACATCAGTTTATCTTTAAATGAATTTTTCTCAAAGTATCATTTTTCAAATTTTATATATTTATACCCTGAACAGATTATATTAAGTTTGCCACGAAGTTTGTAATACCTACCATAGAAGGAAACGTCGGAGTCCCTATAAATATTTATTTAAATGATCATTTTGCATATATCCTTTTCTTTTCAAGAAGCTGCTCATTTGTCGGTAACACCGATATCGAAGCACTATAGCATATAGCTGCCATACAAACTGAACGATCGCAATAAAGTACTTGTTCGAAAAAATGTTTCATTTGACGAGATATGATCAGCGAATTAGGCGTAAATTATTGTCCAAGGCAACGGTGTAATCTTCAAAGAAATTGTTCAGATTGAGTCCCTATGGCATATATCACACATAATAACTGACCAATCAAAATGAAGTTGTGGTAAGAAATATTTTTTGTTTGTGAAAATCTCCGTTTTTAGGAAGTCAAACTAGGTGTGTTCACGAAACACTTTAATGAGAACGATTTACAGTTATTCGTTAACACTAAACTTCAAACTCGAGTTACGTGACCGTACATCAACGAACTTTGTATAAATTTATTTGAAACCCATGTATCATACTTTGTGCTTTGGCTTACTTCGCTCAGGCAAACACTTACAATAATTTTGCTATGAAAAAAAGATATTCTCACATTTGACCCTCCATAAAATTAATTCATTTAATAGCTGTTATCTACAGCTTTCCAAGTTATTACTCATATTTTCACCAACAGCTAATGTGTACCAATAAAAATGTATTTCAAATTATTTACCATTACAGGCAACACACTCAAGGAAACACAAAGCAGCTACACAAGGCTATAAAGAAACCATAAACAACAACAAAAATTACAACCGCTGTATCAACAAATGCAACTGCTGTGATCACTTTTGTAACTAAGATTGCAGCTGCCGCATAGTTGCACAGCGCTACAACACGCGAAACAACAACATTTAATTGCAACAACGGCAAATTGTTTGTGCTCACAAACGTTTTGAGCCACTCAGAGAACCTAAGAGTTTGGCGCCTCATTTGAGGCACGCGAGTTAACTACCAGTTTGGCGGCAATTTCTATAGGTCGTTGTTGTAATTGGTGTTTGGGAAAAAAATCACAACGGAACATGAACAGCAATTAAGTGCAGCAGCAACAACAAACGCCCACAAGCCACTGGAAACAAAAAGTGAAAGAAGCAAATCAATACAAGCTGTGCGCCTACACTCACACATCTCAGCTAAGTGCCACATGTGCAACTGATCATTTGAAGCGCCGTTGTTTGCTTACTAAAGTGGCTGCTAAAAAAGAAGAGCGAATCAAAAGTGAAATAAAAACAAAATCGAAAAAAAAACTGGCAATAAGGCGCGTGAGTTGACCAGTAGCCAAAGCAACGGCAGAGACCAACAACCGCATTGTGGTCATAAAACGAAGCGACAGGGACAAGAAAATAGCGAAAAAACGCAACATAACCTCAAAGCTAGCAACCGCAATAAGAGAGTAATAACAAATCTACAAATAGTTAATATTTAAAACGTTACACGCACACACACACGCGTTCAACTTGTTTGCATTTGCCTTAAATTGCCGCATTTAATGGCAAGCGCAACAACACAGCACGACGCGCAACACAAACCAGCTGCACGAGATATCCGCAACAGGTACACAGCACCAGCAACAACAACAAGCGCACAAAGACGGCGCGGCAACTCCGAAACGAATTAGTTCAAGCGTGTGCGCACATGTTACGACAACAACAATAACAACTAAGCAAACATATTTACAACATATTTGGCGCAATAATCGCCAATTGACTAACGGCAAGTGCAACGACCGCACTGCCGCCGCCGCAGCCATCAACGCCAACACCGCTGTACGCGCGCACGCGTTGCCACAACCTTGGCCACGACAATTGGATTACCACAGCTGGTTTTACTGTTTTGCTTTTGCTTGCCGTTGCATATACATCACGGCGCTTGGGACAGCACGATTTTGGTGTTTGCAAGTTCAAGCGCAAACGCAAGCGGTAAGTTCCGTTCAATTAGCGAAGCGCGACCATAAAGAAGGCGACGGCCGCAACACGCCAAATCGTTTGGAGTAGCACGCAAGCAGGAAGTTGGTGCAGGAATCAAAGCATGTGCAAGTCGCAAACGCTGCATGACTAAAGAAACGTGTGAAGCTGTTGCAACTTTTATTGCTGAAACATTGCAGAGGTTGTTAACCTGCAGTTTATAGTGCGCGCGCTCTTAACCAACACCTCTATGTGCTAAGGAATGCGAGGCGTGTCTGGCTGGCGCAGCAGTGACATCAATTGTAACGGCAAATATAGTTGTTAGGATATTTAATTTGAGCTCAACCTTGATCTTGGTGAACGCTACCACATTACCGTTTAAGCGTACTTCCGCGCGCCTTGTTAGCGCTAAGCGCAAAGTAAGCGCATTGCCACAGCGGCAAAGTCTTTAAATAGTACGACACTCATCAGCGTTATACCGCTATAAACTGCAGTGAATTCCCAACGCTTCTGCCCGTACCACTTCCACCTATTGTACCTGACCCCTTATCACCTCTAACAAACACGCCCTACACGTGCCGCGCTCAATGTAAGATGTTAGCAATCGCCAAATGGAGTCTGCTAGCCACAATTGTTAACAGTTTGCTGTTATGCACCTTAGCCATTGAGCGGCCGCCAGCGCTTGCCAACGTAGGTAGCGTAGCGTTACAGTCTGCACCCGCGCATCAACAAGCAAAACAAACGGCGCGAAATGTGCGCGAAAGCACAGCGTATACCGCGGCGCATACGACGCAGTTGAAGCAAACATCATGGTTGAATACAGCGTCAGCTGTAACTGTGGCGCCTGCTGCAGACAGCCAACGCACCGCGCGCAACCTTTACGCGCCCTTCAACACCTTCAGCAAGGTGGATGAAGCGCCTTTTACGGATTGGCGCCGACGCGCCGATGGCACAGTGGTGCAAACTTTTGGCGCTTATCGTAGTGGACGCGCCCTTGCAGCGGTCGCGCCACAGCCACAAGCTCAAATACATGCTGCCGCACAACGTCGCTCTGATGTCATTACAACCGTCGAGGTAATACCAGCACCCGGAATTGAACTCTCCAGCAGTACAAATAATGCTGCGGCCGGCAATGTACCCATCACAATACCTAAACAAGTCGTGCCGGAGGCTAATGCCGCTGCGCAAGTCGCTGCTCAAGTCATAGTGAACGCGACGCGTAGTTCACGGCAGCGCAACTATGTCTATATACCGCTGCAACAACAAGCTACTAGCACTACATTGCTGCCCAAACGCAATAATAGCTCCTTTGGCTATTTAGGTCCACCAGCTCATGCTGTCGCTGCGGCTGTTCAAGAATTCGGCGAAGAGTTGTTAAATGCGCACACCGATCGCAGCGATCTAGCAATAGCGCCAGCGCCGGGCGCACCAATCACATCCACAGACAAAGCCGATTTTGAAGATGAGGATCCAGCGCGTCGAAATGGTTTTAAATTTCCGAGTTATAGCCTTAAACCGGCTAGTCCCTTCTACCCACAAGGTTACCGCGAGGATAATCCCATCTTCACGGAAACAACTGGTTTTGAGGCACCTTATAGCGAGGATGCGCTAGCACAAGACACACGTCATACGCGGCAACTCATCTATGAAAACAGCGATATCACACCAATTTCACATCCTTTCGAATTTCCCGGCTTGGTGTCCAATAACAAGCCGCATACTTTGAGCGCCGCTATCGCCGCTGGTAAACTGTTTCGTGAAGAGGTCACCAAGTTTGGTGATGTGAACGGTCCAATCACAGCTATTCCCCAACGTCCACAACGCGGTTTGTTCTTTGGTGATACCGAATTTCGTACGGGTCCGCCACGCCCATTTGTGCCGCAGAAGGCGTTCAATGAATACGTAGGTTCAAATGGTCCCGTCGATTACCAGAGTTCGAGAAAGAGTCGCTTTTTCCCCTTCAAATCGTCACGCAGTCCACGAGTCGTTTTTCCGGTGAACGATAATATTGGCACAACGGGACCAAGTGGTACTGGAAACGGCGTATATTTTAGCGATAGCGTGGCCTTTAGGTGAGTGAAGAATATTTAGAAAATAACTAAACTTTCTTGTATAAATATTTGATTACAATTTTGATTGTTGCAAAAAGTGCTGCCAAATATCTAGTAGAGGTTAAAATGATAGATATCTCCGTGACATATCTCTTTTAAAATCAAAAAGGAAACGCCAATCATATTTTCCGGTAGAGAGTTACACCCGATATCACCGGATTTGATTAATTTCAGCTTCGAACGATCTCTAAATTGATAAAAATTTTGAAAATGTTTTACTCAAAATATAGAGAGTTTCCAATGAAATTATCTCTCGTTATTTCATTGGTAACTTGACTCTACTTGATTAAATACACAAACACCGATAGGTGGCGCTGTAGTGAAATTATTTAAAGTTTCAGTATTTATGTGCCGTTTTTTTTCATTTCTCAAATATATTGTTTTAATACTCTACTTTACTTTAATTATATATTAGTGTTATTCTATAAGTACTTACATAGCATATTTAAAAAAAAAATTAAATTTTTAGAGATCAAAATTTCGGCATCAACGATTTGGCTGCCATTCAAGATGTGCGCAATGAATTCAGTCTACAAGATATTGATGGCACATCAGAGAGCAGTTTGACGGGCGCACCCTCTTCGGGTACATTCAAAGAAAAAGGTAAGAATTACGTTTTTTACACACGAAAGCTAACTTCAATCCACACCAGCACATTAAAAAATATTTACAAATGCGTACTTTCATAGCTAGATTTACAATATGCAAGTATCGAAAAAAAAAATACATACTAGAAAATACCTTCTCAACACTCTCTCCACATGCGCTCTCTAATGCTTTTGGTTGCTTTGTGCACTTTTATTTTACGCAGCGAAAATGCTTAAAAAAAATAAAACTAAAAACTTTTTTTAATTTTATTTTAATTATTTTTTTTAAATGAAGACCGGTCTTCACATTCAGGCCAAGGTTAAAAATAAATAAAAACCAAAATCCTTAATTAGAAATCAATATTATATACGGTATTTTAAATTTACTCGCACTCATGCTGTTTATATGTAAATGTTAATTTTTCCACGCCACTTTCTCTCAGTTGATATCACAACCGAACTAGAATGTCAACACCGCGGTGGTACTTGTGAGTTTTTTCTCGGTTGTTGGATGAGCGGCGGTCTACTGCAGGGCACATGTAATGGCCTGCTGCGCGGTTGCTGTCATCGCACAGCCAAATCGGCTAACCTACGCACCTCCGATTATGTGGGCAATACAATCGATCTGACTGATCTTCCGCATAAAAACTATGGCCCGGTTAAAAATGATGCCAGTGAGTTGTAAACGATTACTAATTAGGCCTTACATAATATTGCATGGCGGCATGTGGTGAAGTTTGGCTTGGAAATAGCTAGAAAAAAAAAACTTAATAATTATATATTTGCAAACATATATGTTTGTTGTATGGACTTATGTGGGTTGCACAATCTGTAGCATTTGAAATTATCTGGACGTTTAAATGTTTTGGGATGGTGTATGTGGTTAGTTCTTGTAGATTGTTCATTAGTTTCTGTAGAGAACTCTAGAACTCCATTTTTTGTTATTATAGAGAACAGCTGTTGCTTTGAAAAAAGAGAATTTGTAAGCATTCTGTTGGCTGGATGGTTTAATTAAAGATATATTGAAAAAGTATCGCGTAAATTCTGTATATACAACTCACTTTTGTATATACACTCTTACATATATATAACGTATGCGTTTTAGAGATTAAAGCTTAATATAGCACTGAATCAAGTTCAATCATTGATTAATTAAATATTGTTCTAAACAAAAAAAAAAGATGGTGCACTCTGTATATTAATTATTTATTTTTTATTTAAAGTTTACAGTTGGATGACAAATATTTGTAGCTACTGATTTGAATGATTTAATTTAAATCCATCTGTATCAAATTTGTATAAAAGCATAGGTTTCATTACAAAAAAATTAAATGATTTTACAAAAATTAACAAAATCGGGTAATTAAGAGGTAACTTGTAGAAGTACCGAACACAGCGGAACAGAATTTTTCAACTTCAACTCGAACTAAAATAAACAATAAAAAATTATTAATAATAAATTTATTTGATTTTCCAAATTTCAGCCCAATTCAATATAAAATTTTCGGATAAATACTTGATATCGTGGGTAAACTATATTTCGAACAATTTAATCTAAGGGTTGCTATCTAGTTTAATCTTCGAATTGTTCTGTAATTTCTTCTACTGAAAATCAAAAGGAAGCCATAAAATTAATAATTAAATGTGACATTAAACCGTCTTTAGTCCTTCTTTAATAAGTGACAATTCATATTTGTATCGCCTGTTCTGACTGTGCAAACTTAAGCTAGTCTCAGTCACTTCTAGCAGTGCTTGGTTTGTACATATTTTTTTTTTTCATAAAAGTACTATTTAACATAAAAGTTACTATTTACTATTTGTTGTATCGAAGTTGAGCAGAGTCATAGTAAAGTTGTTTTGCATTAAAGTGAGTCAAACTTGCTACCATCTAAGCATATCGGATTTATACAATGGGTCGGTGAAGATTGGCGTCAGTTATTTCTTCTCTGCTATTTTGATTTATATAGAATACGGATCAGCTAAAATATCTTCATTATTATTAAAGAAAGTACAATACTTGTTTCGATAATTTATTCTCACCATCTGACTCAATGCCAAATCAATACTCGTATATATATTTATTATATAAAGAGAAATTATTCCATTTCCATTCCCTATCAAAGAGCAACGTATTAACAAAAAGGCTCCACCACAACATTGAGCTTGTTTAGTTTGAAATAAATTTATTTTATTTATTATATTACTTATTGTTACGTCTTAAACAAGGAGATATATAAAGAAATGTTAAGCGAAAAAAATAAAAAAATTGTTCTAAAGCTAATACGAAAATACTACAAAAGTGGTCATAAAGTGCTTTCCCGAGCGTATTTGCTATCGCGTGAAACTATTTAAAAAATGTAGTACATCTGACTTATATATGCAATCTTGACAAAGCTCTATATAATACATATATCAAGTGTGAGTTGAATTGCTCCAAGTACTTTAGTTTGCCAAATTTCTTCGAGGCAATTATTTTTCAAAATCTGATATAAGTGATATAAGAACGGCTCAAGGTTACAAATCAACTTCTATAGCGGACAAGATAGAAAGAAAACAGTAACAGCAGTATTAAAATATAATTTACTTAGCGATTTGTATATAAAGAAAAAATAACTCATTTCAATAGATTTTCTTTTTTTATTTAAAGTAAAATTTTATAGAGTTGAGTAGACTTTTGACGATTTCATTCGGAGTTCCAATTTTGTCGAAAAATATACAGATATCATTTTATTTTACTTAAAAATTTTATTTTTTTTTTGCATGAGCATGTTTTGGCCATAAACGCATTTCTCTCATCGCATTTAAGATATAAACACCAAACTACACACCCTAATAGTATTATATAAAAAATTTATATACACTTACAATAAAATATAAATTTTTTTAATACATATATATCTTAATCACATACGATTATATTGCATGCAATAATTTGCTAGTTAGTTGTAGCATTGCACTCAGCTCAGTAACATTAATTAATTAATATAACAATTTTAATAACTAGTTAGATAGTAGATCAAATACTCATAGCTTGACATAATTGAATGCTCTAAGGTATGGTAAAGTATGAAATCCTTTCACTAAAACAAAACCACAAAAGGTAGAGTTCCCTTCAAAAACCAACGAACCGTCCGCTATTTAAACATACCAAATGCTTTTTACTTAATTATTAAACACATATAAACGCCTAAAGCCTGCCTACATACAAACAAATATATAAACTAATGCAAAATATATATTAAAATATAGATAAGCCACTCACCCGTGCGTTGCTGTATGCCCGTTACGCGTCAAACTCTAATGAAAATAATTAGTGCAACAATTTGTGGCATGAATGCCACTATACTTTTTAGTTTGTTTGCTATTGTTTTTGTAAAAGTTTTTCTACTAAAGCACGCGCCAACAGCGCTAAGCCGCGTTTTAATGGTAACAGTCGCTAGTTAGTTAGTATAGCTGTTATTGTTGTTGCTGCTGCTGCAATCTCGTTACTAATCCCTAACTGCGTCCAAGTACGCGCAGTTCGAACGTTTGTTCGGCATAATTGCAACCTTCGTTTGCGGCTGTGGTTAGGCAATTTGTTGCGGAAGATCAGTGAGTGAGTGGCGCGCGCATGCGCCGAGATCGAAACGAAATTATAGTTAACGATTTCGGAATTTTTTCTACATTGCACCGAAAATTGGTTTTCTGTTACTTTATCATTATTATTGTTATTGTTATTACACGATTTGTTACTTGGTATTTTGCAAGTGCCCTGCCACACCACAACAACTGAAGTTGCTTGCTACACATTCGCACTACTAATGCTCTGGCGCTCTCATTTACATATCTAAAATTATGCTCTCATTAATTGCAACTATCGCTCGTTAAATGTGAACTTTACTTTCCGCCACATACCACCAACACCGCCACCACCATCTTTCCTGGTTTTACATAGTTGAATTGTTAACGGACATTTGCTTGTATCTTGAACTGTAATCACAAACTCATATCTCTTTCACCATTCACCAACAGAAATAACCATTAAAAATATTTACCCAAAACTTTGCAAATTTTCCAGGTTGCGGCATTTCGCTGGCCAAACAGGCCGCTCAACGGCGCATAGTCGGCGGCGACGATGCCGGTTTCGGTTCGTTTCCCTGGCAGGCGTACATACGTATCGGATCCTCGAGGTAAGTGTTGACATAAAATTTTATTTGCGTAACAACAACAACAACCGGAACAGAGTGTCTCTGTCATAAAATGGAAAATTTGCAAATACAAACATACATATAAATACATTTAAAGAGTGTGCTCGTGTGCGAAAGCACTTAAGCAACCGCGAAATTGCCTTGCCAAAATGCGCAGCGGTTGCATAATCTCTGAAATTGTTTGTATTGTCGTAAATATGTAAGTAATTGCTTGTCTATATCCCGTCTGTAACATTTCGCAGCTGCGTTGCATAAACGACGCGTCACAGTACCTTGCCACAACTTGCAGCGCAGGCGCTTCAAATCACCCTGCATGTGTAAATATATTATATGTTTAAATATAAATCTATATGTCGTCCATCCTGTCCTAAGTACGTGTTGACCTCAACACCAGTCAGCAACAACAAGTGCCAACTAGTTTCAAGTTTGTTTACCAATTAATCACAACTTTGCCAACACTGGCGTATACACAACATTTATTTCCTGCGTACGCTCGCTTGCCACAAATCGCATGTTTTGTGTTGCCTGAACAAAAATAAGTTGCCACTTTGCCACATATCTTTAAATTCATTTTCTTTCAACTTTATTGTATGTGTTTTTTTAATCTTAAACTTTTTTTTTTTCTTTCACAGATGCGGCGGTTCATTGGTGTCGCGCCGTCACGTTGTCACCGCCGGTCATTGTGTGGCACGTGCCACACCACGCCAGGTCCATGTCACTCTTGGCGATTACGTAATCAACTCCGCGGTTGAACCACTGCCAGCTTACACGTTCGGTGTGCGGCGCATCGATGTGCATCCGTATTTCAAATTCACACCACAGGCGGATCGTTTCGATGTGTCCGTTTTGACGCTGGAGCGATCGGTGCATTTTATGCCGCATATTGGTGAGTATTGATTCAAAATTTTACTGTCTTAAATATATGTTTTTTGTAAACTGAGATCACTTACTTCTATGGTAATACAATTTACGTCAGTTAATAATTCAATAGGTCAAGTAAAAAGTTCCTTCGGTTTTTATCTAAGAGATGGCGTTATTGTCCATAGTACTCGTGTTACGTGTCGCATCATGTCATACTATACGGCGCTGAAAACATGTTTATTCGCGCTAAAGTTTGTCTTTGACAGTTTTTCGATTGATTTACTCAGAACGTTGTGAGCGCTAGTCGAAGATAGACCAACAAAGAAAAAATTCGCAATATTTTACAAATTTTCTTCGATCAAAGCGAAAAAGTAGCCAAAGCGGCTGAAAATATTAATTTAGTTTATGGGCCCGATATTGTAAACGAACGTGTAGCACAAAAGTGCTTTGCTAGGTTCCGTTCCGGTAATTTCGATGTCAAAGATGCACCACGCGTCGGGAGGCCTGTCGTCGAAAATTGCGATAAAATCATGGAAATAGTGGAAACAGACCGTCACGTGAGCACTTATTTAATTGCTGAGGAACTAAAGATAAGCCAGAAAACCGTTTGGAACCATTTGCATAACCTTGGATTCAAAAAGGAGCTCGGTGTTTGGGTGTCACACGAACTAACGCAAAAAACATGATGGACCGAATTTCCATCTGCAAATCGCTGCAGAATCGCAACAAAATCTACCCGTTTCTGAAGCGGATTGTAACTGGCGATGAAAAATGGGTCACTTATGACAACATCGAGCGCAAACGGTCGTGGTCAAAGCTCGGGGAAGCGGCCCAGATGGTGGCCAAGACCTGATTGACGGCCAGGAAGGTTTTGCTCTGTGTTTGGTGGGATGGGTAAGGAATCATCTACTGCGAGATGCTCCCCTATGGCCAAATGCTCAATTCGGCCCCGATTCGATCAACAGAGGCCGAATTGTGTTCCATCAGGACAACGCCAGGCCACACACGTCTTTGGTGACTCGCCAGAAGCTCCTGGAGCTCGGATGGGAGGTTCTTACGCACCCACCCTATAGTTCGGACCTGGCACCAAGTGATTACCATCTTTTCCTGTCCATGGCGAACGCGCTTAATGGTGAGAAGTTGGCCTCAAGAGAGGCCTGTGAAAATTGGCTCTCCGAGTTTTTTGGCAATAGGGACGCAGTCTTCTACGAGAGGGGTATAATGAAGTTGGCATCTCGTTGGCAATAAGTTTAAGAACAAAACGGCCCATATTTGACTTAAGTCGGAGAAATGTACACAAAGTTATCATCTTTTGAAAAATCAATAAAAAACCGAACGAACTTTTTACTTTACCAATATTTATTAGAAATCGCATTTCATTAAATACAAACACCAGGAGAAGAAATTACTCGTATTTATCAACTTCGTTCCAACTTCTTGTTCGTTAGTCAATCTAATGAATACTTCCTCCAAGAGTTTAAGATATACCGGTAAAAACATTTTTCCAAAAGTTCCAAATTTACTGTTTATGTTTTTAATGTGTGTGGTCTGAAATATTTAGATATATTGCATAAATTTATCACACATCTATATTTGACTTTATTTATTTTAACTTATTTTATTTTAATATCATTTTAGCTCCTATCTGCTTACCCGAGAAGAATGAGGACTTTCTGGGAAAATTTGGTTGGGCCGCAGGTTGGGGTGCCTTGAATCCAGGCTCACGACTGAGGCCCAAAACGTTACAAGCTGTGGATGTGCCAGTGATTGAGAATCGGTGAGTAAATATGAAAGTTAAAAAGGAAAATAAACTAGAATAAGTAAGGAAGGCCTAAGTTCGGGTGTAACCGAACATTTTATACTTTTGCAACTTGCAAGGATCAAAGCTGGCTAAATATCTTCAGGTGTTAGTAATAATAAAAAATGTAGCGAAAAGGGTTCCACTTCATTGGTCGACGAAATCATGAATAGATTACAATCAAATTTTGTATCATATTAACTTATTTTGAAGGACTCACTTAGTTTTATTACTGTATATTACTTTATTATTTTATGTCTCTGAAGTATTTAATAATTCATTCATCGCGCGTTTTTAAACTTAAAAGCTGTTATATGGGGATTTGGCACAGTTATAATCGAATTTTATCCATTTTTCGAAAAATAATTTAAATTATTTGAGATTTTAATGTTTACTTATTTATAATTTCTGATATATTCTATTAGAAAAAAAAACGATTTTGCTAGTTTTCATCATATACATAGTTTTTGGTGCACAATTTTGAAAAATTCATAAATTCTTTTATACTTTTCCCTTCACAGCATTTGCGAACGCTGGCATCGTCAAAACGGCATCAACGTTGTCATTTATCCCGAAATGATGTGCGCTGGCTATCGCAATGGTGGCAAGGACTCCTGTCAAGGTGACTCTGGTGGACCGCTGATGCATGAAAAGAATGGCCGTTGGTATTTAATAGGTAAGCAAATCAAAATTAATATCACTGCACAACAATTGCTAATTAGTCTGCTTGTCACTTTTGCAGGCGTGGTTTCAGCTGGCTACTCGTGCGCATCGCGCGGCCAGCCGGGCATCTATCATCGTGTACCCTATACGGTAGATTGGATATCCTACGTCATCGGTCTGACAACGAACGTGTAGTAGAAGTGAATTACAGCGACTTTACTTATTTCAAATCTACTGCGAAATTGAAAAACATGTCGCAAACTAAAAATGCTCAAAACTTTCACATTACTCGATTTCTTATTTAATTTTTCAAAAAATGTTTCTACAACCTTTCGCAAGCCAATTTTCTATTTTAGTGATAGTAAAGCATATTTATTTTTAGTATTTCACGATTTTATATCTATTTCAAGTTTTGTAAATAGTTCTTATTTTATTTAAAGTCACTCTTTGTTTCTTGTTGGTAATTTCCCTCTCGCACACATAAATATGTCATATGCATAATATTGTTTACTAAACGTTAAACTAATAAGTTAAGCGCATAACGGGTCATTGCTCCATTTAAGAAATTTCACTTGTAAGCTTAGCTTTGTATTTATATTAAAAACAAATAAATATATTTATAAACATATCACCCAAATGAGCATATACATATATACATACATAGTTATAAGTATGTATATTTAATATACACATACATATATATTTGTAATTAGTAACATATAACGGTGGTTTATTGTACAATATATACTATTTAGTCATAATTATGCACTTAAATGCTCTGCAAGTGAAAGTAGTATATATAAATACATGCATAAGTATATATTTACGAATGTGTATAGCTTCTATAGTGATGTAAATAATGCGTAAAACTATTAAGTAGTTATTAATTTTTATATAATTTATATGTGAATTAAGAAATAATAAATTAATTGAAAAATAAATTCTTTAAATGTATGCAATTATTGAACGAAATTAGTCTATAATTGTGATACAAGTATTTTGTTCCCAGTAGTAAATTTACGCTGCGGTATGAAGCAGTAAGAGTTATGTTATGTTATGACCCATTATCAATTGACTAGAAGTAGTTTCAATAAAACAACAACGCAATACAGTTATTATATTGTAATAACAGTTTAAAAAAAAGTTAAAACTTTGATAGTGGTTTACATTTACTCCCGGACAGCCCAACGAGATAGGTGAAGTTCCAATTGCATTTATAGAGTAGTTTTTACACCCTTAACAGGGTAAATTAAATTTGCCAGAATTTTTGTAACATCCAAAAGGAAACGCCTCAGTCTTTATAAAGTAGATATATAAATGATCAGATTGACGAGCTGAGTCGAGTTAGCCATATGCAACTGTCTGTATATATGCGAAATAGTTCCTTAACTTTTGTGATATCGATCTGAAATGCATCCGTACTTTTCTCACCAAGAAGCTGCTCATTTGTCGGAACGGACCAATATCAGACCACTATAGCATACATCTGCCATACAAACTGAACGATCGGAATAAAGAGCTTGCTTTTTCATTTACGATATATCTTCAAGAAATTTGGCATAATTTCCAAACAAATTTTTCGGATTGAATCACAATAGCATATAGCAGTCATACAAATTGACCGATCACAGTTTTTGTAAAAATCTTTGCACTAAATATATAAAAATATTTGGGAAGGATTTTATAGCTTCGGTGCAACCAAAATTATTATTTTTTTTTTTGTTTTACATAGGTGTATGTCTAATAAAAATATATAAAAACTATGTGCAAGCGATGAGACCAGCCTAGAGTTTGGTAGAAAATGGTTTTAGTTTGACACTTTGTTTTGGGAGTATGGATAAAGCAATCCACCGTTGTTCTTTTCAGGCTGTTTCAAGAGAGCGTTTACCGATGACGGTGATTTTAGAAAACCATGCTATCTGAAACCAAACCAAAAATGACGAAAAATTTGGGCTTGTAAATAAAATTAACAACAATAATAATAAAAACTTACGTCGTTTATCAGATATAGTTACTGTGAACCTATAGTTAACAATATATGAATATGTGCAATAGAGACCGATGACCATCGTCAACCGATTTAAAAAATACAATTTCGAAAGAAACGAAGTAAAGCTAACTGAGTCAAACCCTATGATATTATTGAGCAGGAAAAAAACATTTTTTCAGTATGCCATTTGAATATGCCTATTGTGTAGTTTAAGCCAAAAATGGTGTTTAAAAATCTTACACTGCAAAAATAAAGAATGTAGAAATTAGTAATTCTATATTTTCAAGTTATTGGTCTCAAAGTGACAACATTTGTGTCGAAATATTGGAGGACAAATGCATTGACCTAGTTGGAATTAGTGTCGAATAATAAAGTTGTATTTTAATTAAAGAAATTCTTCTTTCATTGTTAAGAGGACAGCTTTTCAGTCCATATGATATAGGCTAACTACGAACCGACAATATAGGGATAATTTTATAATATTTGTTGAAACATGATTCATTATAAATATTTTGATTCTTGTCACAAATGTACATTTCTTTTCCAAAAATTACAGTTTTCAACCAAGGTGATATAAAAAAAATATTGAAGTGAATGCATAATAGAAACATTCTATTCGAGCTTTTCAAAGTTGGTTCCCTTTTTTCCTAATGTACCAATAGAATACACTGCCAATGTCAAAGGCCATAAACACATTCTGCAGATATAGTATACAACTATAGAAGTAGTTAGAAATCAGTAAAAATATTGTTTGCTATAATCCAGCGACAAGGCAAAAATTTTCTGACCCTATTGCCTAAAAGATACCAAAATAATATTTGAGTATAATTTCGGTTATTTTTGCAACGAAATATACTTTAAATTGAGGCCAAACATGTAAAATATAAATAAATTGTAACAAGCATATTAAGGCTTTAAGATTATATTCGATTCAAGATCAATACGTCCCCTTTATGATTTTCTTTACGAACCTTGTCAAATAGACCACCATCGAGTCGGTTATTTTTTAGCATTTTCTAAGAAATTTTACCAAAGTAATGGATATATTTTCTATACCGTCAGAAATTATAGATTTTAACAAAGAAAGAGCTAATAATTAAAAAAAACAGCTATTTTGAAATAAGAATTTTCGATTCAAAAAAAAAAAAAACTTTTCCGATATTAAGTCTAAATAAGCTGAAAAATAAATATTTTAAATAAAAAAACATGTTTGGGACATATAAAGGTAAGTTTACACCAAGTTTCTTAAAAAAAGAAAAAAAATATTGTAAAAATAAAAATAAAAAACCAAAAACTTAAGTTTCTCAATTGTTCTATAGGTCTCGTGGTTGCCGAAGTTTTTAATTCTTAAGAATTCAACCACGCCCATTTCCTTTCTCTTCCCGCTCACAGATCGCCGTTAATTATTTTTTTGTTTTAATATAAGTATATCACTTTATCTTACTTTCCCGACGGATTTCACCCTAATATGATCTTTTGTTTCACAAATACCATCTACAACTGCTTCAGCCCTAACCTAAAAGAAAATGTATTGGCTAAGAAAAATAAAAATTTTCTTTAAAATTGATTTTTGAATTTAGTTTATTTTTGAATTGTTATGGAAGTGGTTAAATGTCTAATTCAAAAGAGTGTCCTACACGAGTACAAACATAATTTTAATATTTCAAGCATTGTTTTGATGTGGTTGTAGTACTTGTACACTTATTTCGTTGATTCCTTAAGCTTCAGATTGTAAAATCAGATAACTATTTTTATTGCTTTCCTCATTAACCAGATTTTCTTCTTTCGTCAAACGGTTTCTACGTATAGTTTTGCAAAGATTGAATACTTCATAGGTTATTTTGTAGAAAATCACTGAAAATAAATACGGATTATGTAATAAAAGTGGCCCAAATCATACTTTAACCTTCTACTTATGATCATTGTAAATGAAGCTAGTAGCAAAACGAAGATTCTGAAGTCAATCAGCAAGCTAGAGATGGTCATATATAAGGCGATATGAGCGAAGAGACCAAATATGATGCCATGAAAAAGCAGCCAAGGCAGCATGAGCTTATGGTTCAGCTAAATTTTAAAGAAATATTTTATAGAGCGAAATTTGAAATGTGAGCAATGAGACTGACCTTCGCCACGCCGGTTAGCATAAACATATTCATGAGCACATTAATGGCGGAGAGGAAATAAGCGCTGACACTGACTGTTAATACCACTTTGAACAAAATTCAATGAATTAATGTTAAAATTATTTCAAATTAGATTATTGAAGGAGCGTTCCTTCATTGGCGCCACCACTTACCTCGTCGCAACATTGCGCGTGAGCGTTCCATTTCGACGGATTTGCGCAACACCAACATCAGATAGCGCACCACATCGTGATGCCACTGCATGGTCAGTCCCGTGCACAGCAGCAACGTTGTCGAGGCAATGATGCCCATCCAGCCGATAAAGGT